CTGCTTCGTCAGCTTGTCAATCTCTTGACAAATCTCATACTCTGACGGAAGGTCGAAGCGATCAGAGTATCTCAGGGAGAGTCTTTAACATACGGTTTGGTCCATTCATCCCTTCTGTTGTCCAAGCCAGAAGAGTTCGCTGATCTCTTCCTTGAAGACGTCAATATACTTACGACCATACATTTTGCCTCTTCGGGGCCGAACAGCCCATCCGGAAGGGAATTCAAATGGGGTCTGAAAGCCTGCGTCGATATTCAAAGCCCTCGTTGATTGCGCTGAATGCCATCTTTTTCATCCGTAACTACAGTCTCCAAAGGAAGGGAGCTGTATAGCTCTTCGAGTAGCACAATGTACAATGTACCATGATTCAACAAGGGTAATCGGCTGCCCAGGAAGAGAACGTGACTCCACCGGATCTGTCTCCGACGAATCTGAGATTGCTTTGTAATATGTATGCCTGTCACTGGCCCCGTAGACGCCTGGGGATCAAGATTTTTTGTCGCAATCTCCTGCATTTCGTAATCAGCGTCATCGTCTGCTTTGGTACCGTCGTCATCTTCTTGCTCTTCGCACCTTTCTTTTGCCAACCATGCATTCGCGTTTGCATCCTCTCCTTCCTCATCAGAGGTTCCTCCTATATTTCATTCATAAACGATACTACTGCTACTTCTAGTTTCTGGCATACACGTATTCTGAGATGGCTTGCACTGAATGAATTTCCGGTCTCCAATCCTAGAGTACACGAAATTCACGAGAGTGAAGTATGGTCAACTGCAGTAGCGCAACGAATCGAATGCTGTCGGATCTCCCTCCTCAATCCGGCCAAGTCGCTGTTCGTAGTTGAAGTAAAATATGTCATTGGCGCTTTATTGTTCGCTTCAGATGCCTGTTGATTGCTTCGAGTTAATTTGCAAGCTTAGAGAGCCGATCTCAGTTGTTTTCGACGATTTTCACAATTCATTCGTGTTCCCAAGTATGTGACTTGAGGCTACCACTGTTTGTGTGACGCAGTCATTGCCCTTCTTTACCCATGGCCTTAACGCTTCCATTGATCCGGCGAAATGAGCGTCTGAGACAGACTTGCCATCTTGCGATTCAGTATAGATGAGGCGCCAATTCTTTTTTTGTGCACAAAACTCAGAAAAAGAAGAATGAAGGGCAACAGTGTGTTCTGGTAGCGGTGACGTTATCAGACCGAAGCACTATCCTTGTAACATGTGGAAGCTTCTTCTTTTGTCTCATCGGCATCGCTTCGGTCATTGATATCGCGGACTCACTGTCTTGTTTGTTGTCTCCATCTGAATTGAGATTGAATTCCACCTTGTTATCTATGACGGACGCAATTTCCCCCTTCTCGGCTTCTTCTAGGTGAAGTACTGCACCATATCCCCACGCCAACTAATCCCTCTTTTGCCGACATGCTTGACTGTCATTTTTCAAAAGGTCTAAAGCTTCAACTTTCATTTTGAATTCCATAACGACCAAGGCTTCACCCGAATCTTTACTCTCGGTGTACCTGCTTCTCATGTTATTCAGAATATTGCTGATAGCAATTTGCTGGTTGGCTTCTCTGGTCTTGCGAGCGATAAACAGCATCGATGACATGGATTGTATAAGCAGGAGCGCCAACGTCAACCAGGAGACGCTAAGTCTTTTGATGACATTAAGGCCACCTAACAATCGAGGCAATAGTCTACGGAGTCTTCATCGGCTTCCCTCTTTTCACCGATGGCGGTCAGGTGATTAAGTCTATGAAGTGTCCTATGAAGCAGATGATTCGTATTCAATTTTTTGATCTTCCGTTTAAAGCCGCACTTTGGGAATGTTTTCATGGCCACCATCTCCTTCATCAACTCTGGCAACCCATTAAGGTGCAGACTGCTGAAAATCTGCTTTATGAGATCGAAAGAGTCATCAACCAGAAAGCCAGTGACACAGTCAACTCCCTTCCGCAGTCTTGTGTCGCCTGACGTCAACGCTCTCATTATGCGAAAGCACCAGAACAGGAGTCTTCTTTTCACCTCTGTTAAGCTGACCTCCCAGAAATTTTTCATATCCCTAAGGAATGTGGGCTCTTGTCTAATTTCTCATAATCGCCGGGAAAATATAGAGTTGACCATCTAGCAATAGCTTCTTAGTACTCCAGGAGTAAACAAAAAAATTGTCATTGGAGAACACAGAATACGGCTTCATCGATATCTGCGGGCTTTAAGCGTTGGTAGACTCAGGATATTTTAGTGAGCTAGTTTCCCTAGCTAAGTATCTAAAAGTCTATGACCCCGCTTTGAAGCGGTTGTTTGGCATTGAGATAGAAGCCTGTAGAGTTGCCTGGTGATGATTCCTGCAGATAATTGCTCTATGACTCTCTTCTCTACTGAACTCTCCTTAGCTTTCGCATAACAGCTGGTCAAACCGTGGGTACGCTCAGCCTCACCAATGCTACAATTTGAAGTGCCACCAGCTGCTAGTTAACCCATTGTTTCTTTACGAACATTGCTCCTTCTTTGACAATCAAATGCGTCGAATAAAGCGTTTGCAGCCATGCCGAATTGTCCACAAAATTTTTACAGATCTCAATAAAGACTGTTTGTATGTCTTAAGGACTCCTTTAATCCTAAGAGTCTCTAGAAAATGCTTCTTTCTGACAGCGATGTTGGGAAAATAGAAAAAAATCGACCTTTTTTGCTTCAACGCCAAAAGCTGTCAAAGCTTGCGGGCGTCTCTTAGCAGCCCGCAAACGTACGAGATGACGCCCAGCTTTCATTTGCTGCATGTGGCCTTTCAGTAGTAGATGAAGATGCTGGTAATTGTCCGGCAATCCCTCGAGCAATGTGGTGAACGGTTTCTGTGACCACACACTGCTTTGCAACCCTACCATTCAGGATATTGACAGCGATTTTTCCATTGTATTCAGTAGAAATGCTGTGCGCCCGCCGCCGCTCCAGCGCATCCTTTTCAGATCGCTAAAGGGAGTCTCGAGAATTCCAGTGCTGTTCGCCCACCAGATTCGCACCGTCCTGGGGGGAGGCTTAAACTACTTCTCAGCCCATGTAGGAATGCCACCGGCAGGACTACTTCCAGCTTCATCGATTTACCATATGCCGCTAAATTCGACATTGCTTAAGCTTTACACAGACTACGACGTAATGGATGCACTGCCAGAAATGCCACCAGTGCTTATTAAGGGGACGATGAATAAGGTGGAGCGTAGGCCCTCTGGAGGGAAGCGCGCAATTGGGTAAGGATTTCTGAAAGAATGAGCGTAACACATGACATCAACTCAAATTTATCTCGATGTTGCTTGCGACATCTTCAGATTTATCCCCGCTTTCCAAATCCAAAGCCCAATCGTATAGGTACTCTGCCCAACCCCGGCGTCTAGAGTAAAGGGCGTCTAGAAAGTCTTCAAGTGGCTCTTTAAGTCACACAGCACACGATTTATAAATCATCGAGCATAATACTCAGATCGTGTGCGTTGCGGCTGAGAGCATAGCACATTTAGCTCGCAACAATATCACGACTAAAAATCTCATCTTACTGTGACACCAACCGCCACAAAACGTTGTTTAAGGCTTCATATTTGCACACACATTTCGTGGTGCAGCAGCTGCAGTTGTGACTGCATGGTAAAGCTAAACATAACGCTATTTTGCTAGTTTATAACGTTCTACTTCAATTTGTTTTTGCATATTAACTGTGAGTTCTACTGTCAAGTGCACCACGAGTGACGAGGGATTTTAGCCCCTCCGGATCCGCGGTTAAACATGTAAAGACGAGAATATTAAAGAAGATGAGGTCAAGGCACCAGTTGGCTGGTTGACCACGTCTATGGAGTGCAAATGATTCTTGTTCCGTCAGGTTATAAATTTGGCAACTTTGTCCGATAAAGTCCATTGAAGCATTTATGTACATGAAGTATCTGGCCAATCGCAGACAACTCGTGCTTCTTTCACCACGGTGCTAATATACGAAATTGTTGTTTATTTGAAAGACCTGCGGCGCACAACGATATATACAGATGGAGTACGGCACGCTCTACTAAACCATTGGGTTTGCTTCTATGAGAATATCAATTGTGCTCACCGTCAAAGTCGAGGACAGCAAAGTGACGCCACTGGTGATAATCAACGAATAAGATTCGCTATAAAAAGGAAGCATGATGCAAGGCTCTTATCAATGCAATGCCTGAGCTAACAAATATTACTGATTTCATGAATGAAGCATATGTTCCTGCGCATACAGGCGAGTCTGATGGGAATTCTTGAGTGAGATTCTTGCAGGCTCACATTTCTAATGATTTCAGGGACTATATGAAGCATTGAAAGAAATATTCGGCAGTTATTTTAAGTAATTACATACATTTAAGACGGCGACATCGGAATCTACGATTCGTATACCGATAAGCTGTCGACCCTTAATCGCGACCTGAAAGAAATCTGGCAATATTGAGCTTAGTCTTGGCAAAATATTTAAACTTACGATCGAAGAAATTATTTGCAATTGAGTCAAAGCTGGTTGGCGGAATGTGTACAAAACTGTAATTTAGATATCCATCTCCGCGCTAGTATTCATGACGATTTTTGAATGGCATATTACCCGACACAATATTTATGGGAACGACTCAAAGAACAATAGACAACAAACCAAGGAGAATATGTGGAGTTTTTTTGGATTAAAGATCACAAAGTCAAGATTACCTTGCTTTCAGCGTGCGAGAACTAGAGTGCTTTTTCCCAAAAACGCTCTATCTTTTTACTACGCCACATGTGGAGGGAGCGTCGTATCAGAGCAAGTACGTTAGCATGAGCTTACACGAAGTGAACATGCAGACGATGACGTTTCTTCTTGCAACGAAGTCGCCGCGGCTTCCGCAAATTATGGACGCTGTCGTTAAACTATGCTTGTTCGGTATATGCATCATACGACATATTGTCGTCAGAATGGCATTCATATTTCGACGCGACTTGGAAACATACTCGCGCCATTTGTGTGTGCGTGAGCTGTAGAGTGTGCTTGATGGTGAGCTTAGCATCACGGACTATCATTTGCTCAGTCGAAATGATCATGTTAGTCTCAGGATATTGGTCGCCTCAAAATAGATTTCAGTCGTCGTGGCGAGCATGAAAGGGGACATTTCCGCCAGTTTTGACGGAGCGTTAAAGATTCGTATGCTGCACTTCCAGTTACAGCAATCGTCGCGATACCGGCCAACGTCGTTCTATTATCTGAATGGCATATTGTCAATAATGATTGCATCAAGTTCGGCGCGTGAATATGATATTGTGCTATACTGTCATTGACGCAATTTGATTTTTCTGGTAATGATATGCTATGACATTCGTACCACAGTAGTTTCCTGTAGTACCATACATTGGTATTTCTCGGCTAGGTCCTATGCTCGGGGTACGATTGTAACAGAAGCATCAGTAGTGTGACATGATTTTTCTCTACAACGCATCCTAAGATCCCACTTACCCAGGTCTGAATTTCGTCCTAGTAAATCAGCCGGCTTTTATATTCGGTTTGCAGCGGGGCTACCGTAGCTTTGGAGGTAGCGGGTCGCAATCCACTACCTTCAGGAGTAGGTAGAACCTTAACCAAGGCTGAAAAAAAATTCGGTTTAAATTCAATACTGATTTTATTTATTTTTATCTGCGGCTAAGCCGCCTAATTTTAAATTAATAGATTTCCTAAACATGTATAGTAAAATCCAAATACATGTATAACTACTAAGTATCTAGCCCCGTTCCGTATTCTTGTTTGGGTTTGGTCACACCATGTCCACCTAGTGTGACACACACCCCTGTTACCAGGGTATGTGTAACCCCGTTACACTCTCCACCTTTAAGATTTACAGTTTCAATCGATTATTGCCTCAACGAGGCTTGCGTGTCCACTAGACACTGGAACATGGTTCGTTGGGACAAAACGACTTCCGTGTTCAATGAGCTCTGGGTCAACGACATTGAAGTCACCAAATCTCGCTGGTTCTGTCAGCGTACATGGACAGAGCGCAACTTCGTCCCCCGCACGCGGTGCCATGTCGGACAGTGCGTCTACAGCATCGAGGGATGTAAATCTCAGGCTGGGTGAGCCCGAGCGTCGCGCTCCGCACACGCTATTAGCGACGAG